CTCGCCCAGAAATTGACCTTAGGCAGCAGCGAGCCACTGGTTCCACACAAAGGACATCTACCGACAGGCCTCCAAAGCTGATAGAAAGTGCATCAAATGGTCTTACTTCTATGATATCTGCCCAGCCAGAGCAAGTTCGTCCTCTTCTAAGCTTGTTGGAGAAGGAACCCCCCTCTAGGCATTTCTCTGGTCAGTTGGAGTATGCACGTCACCTCTCAGGGTTAGAGAGACATGAAAGCATACTGCCTTTATTACATGCATCTGAGAAGAAAACAAATGGTGGATTAGACTTTCTGATGGCAGAGTTCGCAGGTAAGTGGTTTTGTTCATCTCTCCCCCCTTCTCTTCAACATTTGAATTGTTCAAAATGACTTCACGTTATTTGAAGTTTTAATGGCACGTGGCTCTTATCACCATTCACTGTTGGTAGTAACAACCCAAATTTTGAAGTCTATTTTAGGGATTTTAAGTGATAATCTCTTCCCGTTTCTCGCCTGCAGAAGAATTTGAATTTCCAGCAATATTATTGTGGAGCTGCCACTATATGAATTTCCATTGAGGAACACTTATATTAGTAACTTCTCTCCTTATGGTTGCAGAGGTATCTGGGCGTGGAAGAGAGAATGGAAATCTAGACTCCATTCCTAGAATTTCACACAAGACAGTGAGTAAGAAGGTTGGATCTCTTGCACCTAATGAAGGCGCTGCTTCCACATCTGGTATTGCATCTCAAACAGCTTCTGGTGTACTGTCTGGTTCGGGTGTTCTAAATGCTAGACCTGGGAGTGCAACATCATCTGGGTTACTTTCCCAGATGGTATCAACTATGAATGCAGAGGTTGCAAGGGAATACCTGGAGAAAGTGGCAGACCTTCTGCTGGAGTTTTCGCAAGCTGATACAACTGTAAAATCCTATATGTGTAGCCAAAGCTTGCTTAGTCGTCTTTTTCAGATGTTCAACAGAATTGAGCCCCTTATTCTTTTGAAGGTGCATAAGAGAGTGCTCTACCAGCTTCAAGCTTAAACTTGTTGGAGTGGTTTTTTATGCTGTCTCACTTTGCTGCTCTTTATTGATATCCAGATACTTGAGTGTATCAATAACCTGTCAACTGACCCGAACTGCTTAGAGAATCTTCAGCGCGCAGATGCAATTAAGTACCTGATCCCAAATCTTGAACTCAAAGATGGGCCACTTGTAGATCAAATTCATAGTGAGGTTGGCCTTCCCAACTTTCTTGCTATAATCTAAGCATTTTGTGACTATGCTACGAGTGCTCTTTACTGTATCCAATTGATTTACTACATGAACCTTTCCTTATCTGCCGTTCCATTTTAGTTTTGTTTGTACTTCTATTTTACTTCCGCACTTGTTGACATTTTGATAGTAGTCTTCTTCTCATGATGGTATGTAGTCTTTCACTAAATTACTGGTAAGAAATTCTCTAGGTTCTTGGATCATTTCTTTTCTAAACCCTGTTCCTGACATTGCCATTCTTTTGTGAGTGTAGTCAACTAGAGATTGAGTGTTAGGGAGCCCATTTCCAAAGCTTGTAGTAGGTTGCATCACAGCGAAACTTTCATTCTATGCTTGCTAAAAGTATCATGTTGCAAGTTCTTGTCTTTCTCTATGAAGAAAGGAACTGGCAGGTGCACTGAATGAAAGCTTTCATTCTATGCTTGCTAAAAGTATCATGTTGCACGTTCTTGTCTTTCTTTATGAAGAAAGGAACTGGCAGGTGCACTGAATGAAAGCTTTCATTCTATGGTAACCAAAAGTATCACTTATCAAAATCTTGCCTGTATCTTAAATTTGGGAACAGTGTGGGTGTGTACATGTGAAATGTAAACTTAAATTTGTGTCAAAATTTGCTTAGATCATCTTTATCTCTTGTTATCTAGGTTTCATTGATAAATTGGTCTGGATTGTTTATGTTGTACAAGTTCTTTAGCAGTGGATTTAATTAGGTACAAGATTTTTAATTATTGCGAGCATCCTAATTCTAACAATTCTTTTTCTGAATTTTATAACTTGAAGGTCCTCAATGCACTTTTTAACCTCTGCAAGATAAATAAGAGGAGGCAGGAACAAGCTGCTGAAAATGGAATCATTCCACACTTGATGAATTTTATTATGTCAGATTCTCCTTTAAAACCACATGCATTACCTCTACTGTGTGACATGGCTCATGCATCACGTAATTCAAGAGAGCAATTGAGGGCTCATGGTGGATTGGATGTATACTTGAGCCTGCTGGATGATACAGTTTGGTCAGTGACAGCATTGGACTCTATTGCTGTTTGCTTGGCTCATGACAATGACAATCGTAAAGTGGAGCAAGCATTGCTAAAAAAGGATGCAGTTCAGAAATTAGTGAAGTTTTTCCAATGCTGCCCGGAACAACAATTTGTGCACATATTGGAGCCATTCTTGAAAATTATAACGTATGAATTTTCATTCTTTCTATTCATTTCTTAATTGACAATTCTGTACTCTTAAGTTCAACTCACAAATGTTAACCTATTGATCTATTAAATTGTGAAAAATGAACTACGAATGAAAAACTGGAATGCTGCAGATCCTTTGGAGTGTGTACTGCTCAAATCATCAGCATTTTGGCAGCATTTCATTTGTATTTATTGAATGCAGGAAATCATCTCGGATAAATACGACGTTAGCTGTTAATGGCTTGACACCTCTGCTCATTGGGAAACTGGATCATCAGGATGCCATTGCTCGTCTTAATCTGCTTAAACTAATAAAGGTGAAATTTTTCAACCTCTCACCATCCCCTCTCGCTTATGTCTTTGTAAATATTTATTCGCGTGTGAGTCATACTGTGCTTGATGAGATGGATGGAGTCAATTTGCCAAACCCAGAAAAGAAGATCATCATTTGGTTATGGTTCCAATAAGTGGGTTCTTTGATACTAGGATTAGGGGTAGCCCTGCGTGTGTTTTTCATATTTTAATGGTGACCATCAAGATTTGAACATTACACTTGTGGATAAAAGCACTGGACTTTTACCACTGCACAAAAGAATAACCTCTAACATGTAGATCAATGTTGCTTGAATTGTTGATTTTGCTGTTGCTATGGCTCTTCTCTTGCTAGGTAGACACATTGTTTATCTCACTTAGATTTGTTTAAGAAGTGGTTGTTAATGTATACCCACGGCTGGCTCACTTCCAGTTTATAAACCCTCCATTTTCCACAGGTATTCTTTTGGATTACTAGCACATTGTTGGTAGAAATCCAATGATTAGCACATTGATGGTCAAAACACCTCGTTTTAAATCATTTTTGTCTCTCCTCTCTCACCATGTTTGATAGTTATGCTTTTCTTCCCATCTCTGTCACTTTAGTAGGTGTTTTGATTGTAATTTTTATAGGAAATCCCAATTAAAAGTGTGATATAAAAATTTATGGCTAGCGAGAATGATGCCTGAGGTATTTTATTGAAGACCCTATAGCTTACCCTTTTTTCATGAAACTTATCTTTTCGATTTGCTCCTCACTTTATTCATTCTATCATCTGTTTTTGTGCTGAAAGCTGCATCTGAAAGCAGGAGTTTGCTTGTTTGATCATATTAATTGCTCACTAAAATTTGTTGTGTCAGTCTGTGTATGAGCACCACCCCCGTCCAAAGCAGTTGATCGTGGAGAATGATTTGCCCCAAAAACTCCAGAACTTGATCGAGGAACGGAGGGATGGACAAAGCTCCGGAGGCCAAGTGCTAGTTAAACAAATGGCTACTTCGCTACTTAAAGCACTTCATATAAATACCGTTCTGTAAATTCGTGTCTCAGCTTCTTCTCCTCCAAATGTACATGGTTTTTTAGGAATTTTTTTTGTTAGGGTTTTCTTCCCCTTGAAATATGGTTTGCTTGTGTATATTTCTTTGCATTGAGTCTTATGCTCCGTTTGTTTTTGCAGTTTGCAGTTGAATCGTGTTTTGCATTAACCACGTGTTAATCCTGTTTGGTTACCAGTGCTTATCATGTGATTTTGTATGGGTTAACCAAAAATGTTTTTAGGTCTTAGATGAAAAAAGTTGCAATTTATAGCTGTCATTTCTTCACCTCTCATTATTGTTCTTCATCGTATGGTTTCGTTTTCGGGAGAAAAATGGTGTTTTTTTTTTTTTTTTTTAAATAATGGCATTTTCAATTATAATCTGTTACTGTTTCCTAAATTGGAGAAGGGCTTTCGGTCTCTGTAATAATTTTCTGTGGAATAGTTTGACTTGTTAAGTGAAGGCTCTGTCTTGCAGAATCGCTTCGGGTCCTCCCTCGACTTGCTTTTATGATTCACTCCATGGTCGGGCTGCTACAAGGGGTTATGAGTGAGTGCTGCTTTTAATTCCGAACCTGTTATGAGTTCCAACAAACAATTTAAGTTTGAATTAATTAATTAAAATATAATACTTAATTATAAGAAAAAAAAAAAACTAAAAATATAAAAACAAAGTAAGTTTTAAATAATAAAACACTCAGTTGCAATAAAACATAAGCTGAGTCGATTATAGATAGCAACCATCAGCATCTTGACATTTACTAATAGAGTGAGATGTGTCAAGCTCGGATGCTACTCAAGCATTCAGTTATGAATTGAATGAGCGTGTGTTATAAAACCCTTTGCCTTCTGTTGACACCACTCTTTGATGTAGCAGGATGTGAGTGTTGGGTTATACAAATATGGGATACAATCCCCCGCTCAAAATGGATTATTTAGGTAACTTTTAATTAGTAATCTTTTCCATAAAATTTGATAAAATATCAAATAACTTTCTTTAAATTTCTCTACAACTTAGTTTTGTAATCCTAAGTTTGGAAGCCTTAGCGCGTCACTTACTTGAAGAATCAAATTTCACCTGCATCGTGTACCGTTATCTCTAACATCTAGCTGAAGAACCAGACCCAGAAACATATGCAAGTAGCCTAAAGCCTAATCTAGAATACATCAGTAGTTTTCACGGGCAAAGCCACGAGAAACTAAGCATGAGGTCCAAAGAGATAGAGTTATCCAATGGTGATGTAGTGCAGTAGGATCCAAAAGAAATCCAAATCTTAATTTCCAGTCCATCGAGGAGTAAATAACTTAACTGAGTTAATCCCAACAAACATTTGTTTTATTGACAACCTAAAACATCTGTTCCCCCATCTCAATAAGCCAACTGTACAAAATTGAAGATAACTAGAACAGAAACCTGTCATAGGCTGAGACAATTCTACATCCCTTGTAACTGTCAAGCAAGGCATTTCCAAGTTCACGGTCAGGCGGTAGCCCTCCTCAGAGTGGATTCCTCGTATTTGGGATCTCACCTTTTTTGAGGATGGAGAGAGCATATTCAGCAGTGTCGAAAAGGTCTTCAATGTTATGTACTGATGTCTCCTCAGATCCCAGCATAAAGATCGCACGAACTTCAGCCTTCTTAGCCAGTCTTTCTGCTAAATTAAGAGGCAAACTTGGCGAGTTAAGACTTCGCAGTATGTGACGATAAAGAGATATAACACGTCCTCTGTTCCTTGCCAAATCCTCTGCAGTCGCCCATATCAAACCTTTTGCCATCCGCCCAGTTCTTCAGTTATCGAGCTAAGAAACAAAGTAACCCCACTTAGTTATGTCATACTGTAAGAATTAAAACTAGATCAACTATGACATTGAACTACAGCGCTACCCCCTTTCATTGCTTTAGACAACCACCCGTCTTTAAAACTAGTAACTGTCAGCTTGATTTTACTAAGAAAATTAAATCTTTGCTGATTTTTTGTTTAAAGCTCATGGTAAGGTAAAGTCCCAACAAAACGTATACTCGAAAGAAAGGAAAAGAAGCCAATCCACACACTGATCAAGCAAAAAGAGAGCATCCTCACTCAATGATCATACACTACAAAATAAAATAAAAAAATAAAAAATTGCAGTAAACTGCAAATAGTTTCATCCTTTTCCATGCTACAGCCGAGAACCCATCTCTACAAACTAAAATTTAGATCTCAACAAATCATTAAACAATTCCATCTTTGCTCATTTTATTGTTTAGAAGTAACCCAGCTTCTCATGCCAAACTCCACCATAAGACACCTTACGAGAAGGAAAACTAAGCAAGTAAAGGCACACCAACCTCAAGAAAAAGCCTAAAACATAAGATTAACACAAAGAAGAAGGAGAAATGAATAAAGGAAATCACATATGCGCGTGCGCGTCATTGTTGATAAAAGAAACAAAGGAGTAGCCCGGCCCTTGACAGACCCATGTGAAAATCCCAAATGTTAAACAAGAGACGGGTTTCTCAATTTTTAGACAGTAACCTTCTTTCTGGGTTTAACGATCGATCTAGGTTATTATTATTATGATTATTCCCCCCAAAAAAAAAGTTTCGATCTTGAATTAGTTAAGGTCGGCCAAAGAAATAAATAGAATAAAAGAGAGATTTTTATTTCTTCTTGAAGAGAGAGACTTACAGCGAGGAAGCGAGAAAAAGCAGAAGAGGAGGGGGGGGGGGGGGGGGGGAATCTCTGAGCTTTGAGCTTGTGCGTGAGAGAGAGAAGGCGACCTCTGGATAAAAGTGAGGGCGTGTGTCCGTGTTTTATTTTTATTAAAAGTGATTTTTGGATGGGGCCATGGAACTAGACGTATCTCTAGCTTGGAACCTTTGTGATTTCCTTTCCCTCAACAAAAGCACCATGTTCTTGATTTATGAAAACCAAAAATATCTAATGAAATTTAATCATAAAGTATCTCATGTATCATTATCGCGAGAGGGGAGATGGGTTGCAAAATTCCACCCACCTTCATTAGTTTAAGCATCCTGATGGGCCAGACTCACAATGAGCAGAGGTGTCAAGCCATTAACGGCTAACGTCGTATTTATCCGAGATGATTTCCTGCCTTCACTAAATACAAATGCAATGCCGATGATTTGAGCACCACGCATCCCAAAGGATCTGCAGCATTCCAGTTTTTCACAATTTAATAGATGAATAGGTTATCCTTTGTGAGTTAAACTCAAGAGTACAGCCTATATTGTTAATTAAGAAATGAAAATGATTATAATTTTCTAGAATGGCTCCAATATGTGCGCAAATTGTTGTTCTGGGCAGCATTGGAAAAACTTCACTATGAACTGCATCCTTTTTTAGCAATGCTTGTCACTGTCCAAACCGTATGATCGAGCAGGTTCATGTATACATCCAATCCACCATGAGCCCTCAATTTCTCTCTTGAATTACGTGATGCATGAGCTATGTGACACAGTAGAGGTAATACATGTGGTTTTAAAGGAGAATCTGACATTATAGGATTCATCGAGTGTGGAATGATTCCATTTTCAGCAGCTTGTTCCTGTCTCCTCTTACTCATCTTGCAGAGGTTAAATAGTTCATTGAGGACCTTCAAGTTATAAAATTCAGAAAAAAAAATCATGAGAACTAATATGTTCGCGCTGATTAAATCCACTAATTAAAAAACTCGTACCTTATTAAATCCACTGATAAATAGCTTGTACAACATAAACAATCCAGACCGATTCATCAATGAAACTTAGATAACAAGTGATGAAGATGATCTCAGCAAATTTTGACACAAATTTAAGTTTACACACGGTTCCCAAGTTTAAGATACAGGCAAGATTTTTGGTAAGTGACACTTTTGGTTACCATAGAATGAAAGCTTTCATTCAGTGCCCCTGCCAGTTCCTTTCTTCGTAAAGAAAGACTAGAACTTGCAGCATGATAATTTTAGCAAGCATTGAATGAAAGTTTCGTTGTGATGCAACCTACAAGAAGCTTTGGAAATGGGCTCTCTAACACTCAATCTCTAGTTGACTACACACACAAAAGAATGGCAATGTCAGGAACAGGGTTTAGAAAAGAAATGATCCAAGAACCGAGAGAATTTCTTACCAGTAATTTAGTGAAAGACTATACACCATCACGAGGAGAAGACGACTATCAAAATGTCAACAAGTGCGGCAATAAAATAGAAGTACAAACAAGACTAAAATGGAACGGCAGATAAGGAAAGGTTCATGTAGTAAATCAAAAGGATAAAGGGCAGCTTGTAGCATAGTCGCAAACTGCTTACATTATAGCAAGAAAGTTGGGAAGGCCAACCTCACTATGAATTTGATCTACAAGAGGTCCATCTTTGAGTTCAAGATTTGGGATCAGGTACTTAATTGCATCTACGCGCTGAAGATTCTCTAAGCAGTTCGGGTCAGTTGACAGTTTATTGATACACTCTAGTATCTGCATATCAAAAAAGAGCAGCAAAGTGAGACAGCATAGCTTGAAGCTGCATCAGCTTGAGAAAACTCCAGCAGAAGGTCTGCCACTTTCTCCAGGTATTCCCTTGCAACCTCTGCATTCATAGTTGATACCATCAGGGAAAGTAACCCAGATGATGTTGCACTCCCAGGTCTAGCATTTAGAACAACCGAACCAGCCAGTAAACCAGATGCTGTTTGAGATGCAATACCAGATGTGGAAGCAGCGCCTTCATTAGGTGCAAGAGATCCAACCTACTTTCTCACTGTCTCGTGTGAAATTCTAGGAATGGAGTCTAGATTTCCATACTCTCTTCCACGCCCAGATACCTCTGCAACCATAAGGAGAGAAGTTACGAATACAAGTGTTCCTCATTGGAAGTTCTTATAGCGGCGGCTCCATAATAATATTGCTGGGAATTCAAATTCTTCAGCAAGCGAAGCGAAACGGGAAGAGATTATCATATGCTCATGGAATAGCACTCGCATCTGGGGTCATGACCATTGAGAGTTCTTTGTCGGGGAGTCTCATTAGGGTTTGTATTACCAAAATTGAAAATATCATCCATTTTTCACTGGAGTGATCGTTGGTGGTTAACACGAAAAAGAACAAAATGAATCAACATTCAAATGAAACTCGGTTTCAATTGATCCCTCTTCCATTGTTGGGAAGCAAATGGAGTACTGGTTGAGGGATAATGGGGAAAAAAATTTCATAAGCAAGAAAAAAGAGGTTCATAAATTACTAAAGAAAAAATTAGTTCATCAACATACAATCCATCTAGAGTATAAATTCAATAAGAGAGCATCTTAATCACAATCTTATCAAACGAGTTAAGGCTAATCTAGCATTTCTTCTTGTCACACAAAACCACCCACAATTTAAACAGCACCAAGCTTTAGTGTACAAGCTCATCAAAAAGATGGGAAACCACACAACACGAATACCATCCACGGGCAAATAACACCAATCACTGCATGTCTCATATCAGATCACCGATGTTCATAGGCATTTCATCAATCTGGGTGCTGTAATACTGTTCAATATCTCTTAAAATCCTGATATCATCACTTTTGACGAAGTTAATAGCAACACCCTGCAAACCAGCAAAACACATTTAATTGACATTGAACAATCAGCTAGCAAAGGGTAGTCATCAAAAGGCAATACTAGCAGCAGAGTTGAGCATCCACAATGTAGAATCTCTTCAAACAAAAATCAAACGGTGTTTAGACCTAGGAAACAATAATTCAGTGAAGTCTTTTCTTTTTAGAGAGTTCAGTTCATGTTATAAGGATGTATCTCATAGCAGAAGTTTATAAACCAAACATATACCTTCCGTCCAAAACGACCAGAACGACCAATTCGATGAATGTAAAGCTCTCGATTGTTTGGAAGGTCATAGTTAATTACCAGAGAAACCTGAAGAGATAAATGCAGACAGTATGAATAAGATAAAACCAAACAGCAGTTAGCCCTTTCTGAATACAAATAAATAAAACAATCTACAAATGAATGCAAGACTGACCAAAAAGAATGAAAAAAAAACCCCAAATTAATCAGATTATGAAAAAGCAAGCTCACCAATGTTGCATTAACTAGAGATTTTGTAAGAATTCCCTATTATTACACAGCATTAAGATGATGCTAAAATGAATATCATTATTTCAGTGGTCAATGCAAGTTTGAAAACACATTTTACTTGTGCAGTAACAACAGAGCAAATGAAACAGCACAATTTGGTCCTTCCAACCTCAGTCAAACCATCAACCTCTAAATTAGGCAATATAAGATGATAAAGGCATAAAACTCCCATCTTAACATCAATTCTTTTCATTTCAGGAAAGGAAAGCATCATGTACATGAACTAACTGCACCCAATGAAGACACTATAGATGAAGAGGAAGACAGGGAACTTGCCTGTTGAACATCAAGCCCCCGAGCCCAAACATCAGTTGTGATCAGTACACGAGTTTCACCAGACCGGAAATTAGACATAATTGCATCTCTCTCCTTTTGAGGCATGTCGCCATGCATTGATGAGACAGTGAAGTTAAATTCAACCATCTTGGCAGTTAGCCAATCAACCTGTCCCAAAAGGTAGAAAACTATTAAGATTACTTTTTGACAATAAAAAAAATAAAAACATCATCCAAAAGCAGGCACAAAAATTGAAAAAAAGGGTACAGCTAACCCATAACACAGTAAACATCCATTACTAAACTAGATAACTTTTCCTTTACTAATTTAAATAGCTTGAAAACCTAGTTTCCCTCAATTTCTGTGCCTTCTTACACAATCACACATCAAATCCCAATTTCCTTACATAGAGCAGAAAATGGTATTGGAACTATGAAGAACATCCGTTTGTCATTCTGCTTCAAGAGATGTAGTAAATAACTTCGATATTGAAATGATGGTTTCTGTAAATAAGTTTGCATCTCACATTCTTAAGCAACTGGTTTTGTCCTAAAACCTTCCGTACAGACAACATGCATACCACCAGCCAAATACTAGAACAGTCCATGTATCATTCAATGATGTGCAATCAAATGACAGTCCAATTGCTTTGTGTTGATGCTAGTATAGAATGTCTAAAATCAGCATTTTCATCGCCTTGACTTTTTCCATGATCAACTACTTTCTATTTCAAGGCAACACCACCCAAGAAGGGAATTCTCCATGAGATAGTGCTATCAAAAAGGAAATTATATAAGAGAAAGCTTTACCTTTCGCTTTGTATTGCAGAAAATAACAGCTTGAGTGATGGTAAGAGTATCATAAAGGTCAGTCAGAGTCTCAAATTTCCATTCTTCTTTTTCCACGGCAACAAAAAATTGCTTGATGCCCTATCACCACAGAAACGCAACAAAAGGAGAAGTTCTCATCAAATACCAGCTTTGCATCCATTGCAAGTTTATATAAAGCTCACGAAATTGCTTACCTCCAAAGTCAACTCATCACGTTTCACAAGAATCTTTACAGGATCTGTCATGAACTTGCTAGTAATCTCCAAAATTTCATTAGGAAGAGTAGCAGAAATCAAGACAACCTGCAATAGTAATCACAAATTAGAGCAGGGCTCATAACCAATAGCTATAAGCTTGCCTATTATGCAAGAATGCACAATTAAACATAACATCAGCACAAGATTACACCGACACCAGCATGACAAAAGCTGCTTGGAGTAACTAGTAACAAGTAACCAATGCCCTTTCACCAATGAAAATGTTATGATCATCCCATATAGATGTACAGAATTTAATGTTTACATACAAAACACCGGGGAGAAGGATGTGAGCAGAGTTAAATTAGGATAGGCTACTGACTACTAAACTAGTTTAATAAAATTCTTTTCCTCGTTTTCTTTGATAAGTTGGAGGGGAGAAGAAAGTGAGCCACAACAAAATACCTTGACAGAAAATAAATTTGATGGGACCAGTAGTTAGCTAACATCAAAAAATCAATATATTATAAAACTATGGAGAGAGCACAAACCTGAAGCTCGGGTGGGAGATATCTATACACATCATAGATTTGATCCTTGAACCCTCTGCTCAACATCTCATCAGATTCATCCTGTAGACAAATATTAGAACAAAATTCAGCAGTTAATCCCTCAAGGCACGGATTACCATGCTATGACAGCACAAACAAATGCAAAGCAAATTGACATTTAAGGGATGAAATCATCAAACTCACAAGAACTAGTACTCTGATGGCTCTTGTGCGTAATGACCTCCTCTTGATCATGTCACAGACTCTGCCAGGAGTCCCAGAAACTACATGAACTCCATGTTCTAGTTTTCGAATATCCTCGCCCACACTTTTTCCTCCAATGCATGCATGTACTTGTATATTAATGTTTTCACCAATTACAGTTATCACTCTCTCTGTCTGCTCTGCCAGTTCCCTTGTAGGTGACAATATCAATGCCTGGACCCTGTAAAATCAAGCCATCGTAAGCATGGCAGAGACATAAACTGCAATGTCAACCTGAATTAAATCAGCCTAAAAAAGAACCAGTAGTCCTGTAATTACTTGCAACAACTGCAATAAGAATAAAGTTTCATGTTTTCAACTTGAACAATCTTGGAGGTTGTTTTGTTTCAAGCTTAATTGCCATCAGAACAATACCAAAAACAACTTAACCACGACAGAATTAAAAACCTTAGCTAAAATCATTGAAAAACTTCAGCACATATGAACCTAACAAAAAGACATAACAAGAGAAAGGGACAAATAAAATCATGGATTTTGCAGAACTAGGGTTCACTTGGAAACAGCAGAGCATAATCAATAACACCAAACAACCAACTTAAAGTAGAACAAAAAAAACCTTATCCATAAAAACAATGACATTTAACATTAGAAATAATTCATCAAACATGACTACAGAAAAAACCCATATTAGAGAGAAAGAAAAAACTCCACTAATCTCTACAATCATTGAAAAACTTCAGCACACATGACCCTAACAAAAAAACATAACAAGAGAAAGGGACAAATAAAATCTTGGATTTTGAAGAATTAGGGTTCACTTGGAAACAGCATAGCATAAACAATAACATCAAACAACCAACCTAGAGGAGAACAAAAAAACACCTTATCCATAAAAACAATGACATTAAAATAATTAATCAAACATGATTACAGAAAAAATCCATATTAGAGAGGAAAAAAAAACCCAATAATTTCTACAGTCAGGAAAAGAAAAACCTTAGCTATCTAAAATTATATCTGTTAATGCTATTCAAAATTTATCACATAAAAAATAGGGCTTGCATAATGAAACATAATCTCTGACCTAATCACCCAACACTTACTTCACCTTGTTAAAAAACTACGGGATCACAAAAATTAGGTTTCGGTGAAATCTCTGATTTTACTACACATGAAAAACGAAGTCCACAATAAAAAAAAAAAAAAAAACCGGGGAATTCAAAATTTGGTGAAAACAACAACCTTAGCAGTCTAAAAATATGTCTTTTAAAATCAGGGTTTCTGTAATAAAACCCAATTTCAAGTCCCATTGCACGTCTACGAGAAATCAAGTATTTCTACAATTAGTGTTAACAACAACCCTAGTTATCTAGGAAAACAAATTAGGGCTCGTCTAATCAAACACAAATTCTAACATAGTTACACAAAATAACAAAAACCATATCACAAAATCTCCAATAATCAAAGCTTTAAAAAAAAAACCACAAAAGGGAAAAATCTTACTCTCTGCTAGCAGTATCAACGAGCTGGCAAACAGTAAGAGCAATCATAGAAGTCTTTCCAGTACCAGATTGAGCTTGCGCTATAACATCACGGCCTTTAATTATCGGCATTAAAGCTCTTTGTTGTATTGCTGACGGCTTTTCAAATCCATAATTATAAATCCCTCTCAATAAATCTTCTTTTAATCCCATCTCATCGAAACTTGCCACAGGTTCTACTCCCTCAGTTGTTTCAAACACCAGCTTTTCATCCTCCGCCGCCGCCCTCCGCGCGCTGCGCCCCGCTGGTACTACGCTTGTTGCCATCGCCGCTGATTTCAGAGAGAGGAAAGGAGAGGTTTTGGGCTAAAGAGATTTGCGATTAATAGGACTATTAATACGGTCTTTCATTTTTTGTTGTGTATATAGGGGAGAGAGTTCGTGTTCAATGACAAAAATGGGCTTGGCCCATCAAGTTTGTTTCCTGTGGGCTGGATTATATATTTCTTTTACAATACGTTTGTTACCGTAATTAAATTCAATTACATATATTATTATTATTATTATTATTTAAATTCAATTAATAATTTGAATTAACTGCTATTTTTCTCTCAATTTAAATATCATTTTTATTACATAAATAATTTATTTTTGTTATAAAGAACCTTATATTTATTTAGAATGACATAAAATATAATTATTTTAAAGAATATATAAACAAAAACATCTCATATTAATTATTTATTTATACATATTTGTTGAGAAAAATTAAAAAAAATATTTGTTAAAAAAATCTTTCAATCAAATTTTTTTCATTGGAATGTTGAGAAAAGAAGTTCTAGAGATTTAAAAAGACCTATAAACTACTTTTCTTTTGTAATCATTGATCACCAATATGTAAATCTAATATAACTATTAGGAACATAGATGAATGATTTTTAACTCTAGGGATTAAATTATCATTTTTCAAACTCAAGGGATCAAAGTGATATTTGTTCATAGTTTTCAATTCTCACTAGCAACTCCGTGCGTGTTGTGTGCTATGCTGCCATAGTCAAACCCATTTCTTCTCTCCTATATTACACTTTTTTTTTATATTCTTGTATCATATTATACCTTAAAAATTAATACATTGATCCTTTTAACTAGAGTTTATCAAAACCCTAGCAATTTTCACCTTTCAAACCAATATTTGCTACCAACCATCTATTGGAGCCTGGGGTCCGATTAGGGCTCTGGGGTGCGGTTGGGACGAGGGTTCTCCTCCTCCTCTCTCTGTTTGAGTTACTAACCCTTGGAGTTGATCGTGCCATATGGCCTAAGCCTGGCTGGCTGGCGGGTCTAGTTAGACCTGGCTAACTGGCTGGTCCTGTTGGGCCTATTGCTAGTCTTAGTTTTTATTCTTCCCTAGGTTAGCGTGGAATGCCTTTTACTTCTTCAGCCTCGGATGAGCTTGCTAGGCTTAGCAAATTGCAGCCCAGCATGAGACATGTTCCGATACGAAGTACATGGAATCCGGGTCAATTAATGTTCTAGGACATGGGTTTGGAAATTCGATGAAAATTTTATTTTATAAAAGTTTAGATTTTTTATTTAAAATTATTTTTTTATATAAATTTTCAGATTATAATATCAAAAATAATTTTTTTAAAAAAAATATTTTAACCGCAACTATTACAATACTCTCAAATATTATATTTTAAATATAAATAAGAATCCTCAAATTATTTATGTTAATCCTAGAAATAAACCAAACCAACAACCCTAAATAATTATTTTGAAGAATAAATATAAGGTTAAATTACAAGTTAGGTATCTTAAAATTACAAGGATAACTAAAGGCTAAATAATTTTTTTTTAAATTATTTTTTACTTTGAAGAATAAAAATAATATTATTTAAGAGATAATTTTTTTAATTAAATACGAATTAAATTTGAACATCAAGTTAAAAGAAGTCATATTATTTTTTGAGAGCAATAATAGAATACCTAGTGGTAAATTTCATATCTTATTTTTCTTTTGGAATTTAATTATATTCTATTCGTTAGAATTCTAGTACCATCGAACAAGGAAGCAATGCTTAATATTTCACTTAAAAATACAAATCTAATTTCAAATAATGGAAAAGAAAGGTTACAACATGATTTAAATTTGAGGCAGCTAGCACATATGAAACTGAAAACTGAAAGCACCTGTGAAACTGAAAACTGAAGAACATCTGTCTAATTTAGAAAGGAGCTGTAACTAAAGAAAGGGTGATAAAATAAAGAAGAAAAAAGCTGCTGCTGAAATATTTACAACAAGTGAAAAGGATCCTGCAGACTAGAAATATGATCATAAACCCCCGTTTTTAACATCGCCATTAACCACTCAAGAAGCCGTCAACCTTGTCATTAACAGCAGCTGTTAGGAACTTGATGCACATTGGAGGACTGACACCGGAAAGAGCAAGAATGGCCGCAGGGATACCCCACAAAGACTCGCCACAAATGAGGCCAGATGCGACAGCCGGGCCAAAGTCACTGGCTTTTTGCTTGTTACTTAACTCCAAGAGGAAGAGAATCAAACTCCCAACACACATGTCAATGGCAAAGTAGCCACCAAGATAGAATGGAATTGCCAGGCACATTGGGCTAGGAATGAACCTGTAGATTCTGTACTTGGTTTCGTATTTCCTTAACAACTCGGTCACAAGGTTAATAACCATGGCGGCGATGAAGAATATGATGGAGAATTTAAAGCAATTCTTGGGGAGGGAAGAAACACCTTCAGTACCAAGCATGGCAATCCCACGATAGACTCCACCATAAGGTGCAGGGTAGGCGCTACCTTCCTCACCGACAGGGTACGCCTGATAGAAGACCCAGAATACTAATGGGGTTAAAACACAACCCATGGCGGTGCCTATGACTTGACTGAAGAACATAGAGCGAGGAGACGAGAGGGTGAGGTATCCTGTCTTGAAGTCTTGCATAAGATCAGATGCTGTTGAGACAATGCTCATCATCACACCACAAGAAGCAAGACCAGCAATGATACCACCATTCGGGAGGCCAACCCAAGCACTAAAGATGATGATGGCAAATTTGCCGTAGTTGGATGCAAGAGACCAATCTGTAAGACCGCATCCGTAGGCATTGCAGAAGGCTAAAACTGGGGCAATCACATAAGCAACCAGAATTTGGTACCATTTCAATTGAGGAAAGATATGTGGCACTGCAATGATAGAAACGATTGCTAGAAGGATGTAGCCACCTCCAGCTACCCAATTTGGGATCTGGTCTTTTAAAAAGAATTCCGTTCTACGCTTTTCGTCATACTTCACAAGCTTAGAGTTCTCATCATCACCAAAATCAGGAACCTCAGAGTCTTTCTTCTTGATATTAGTTATTAGACTAATTGTGGTTTTGGAAAGCATGAAGATGACATGGAAAAGACCGTCGCCCAACATTGTGGCAATAGCCATAAAAACCTGAAAAAACGAATGACAGGATTAAAAATTTCTGAAACACGATAGCCCAACTAGAAAATGACCATAGCAGAATAACAGCTTGAATTAAGGAAGAATACCCTGTATCCCTGGATTCCATGGAGACTTGACGGTTTTTCGTCAGCGCTATACCAGTCACCTTTCTTAGTCTCAATAATTGGCCACAGGATTCCCCATGATAGGATGGCTCCAAGAAGCAAGGAAATGTTCACCATGTAAGGACAGATCATTCCAACACCAACATATGTTGCTGAGAAATCAAAGTAGAACCTGTTCGACAAATTTTAACTTGTCGGTATAAAGGATCATGAAGAAATCACCCACAATTTGTTGCGCAGAACCGAAGATGCAATAGTGATCCTGAAAGACCTACCTGCGAGCGAAGGCTTGGGGTCCAAAAGTGGGGAAGCTAGCGAATCCACATCCATCTGCAGCAGTCCAAAACCACTGGAAACCGGCCCACAAAAAGCTGCCGGCGAAATATTTGAACAGGACAGAAACTTGCTTCCTGTACATGCATCAGAAAATGTTAGCAATCACCGACATAATACCATAGAATTCACAACCTCTCCTTCCCCATCTCACCACTCAATAATGCTTACTTTGCTAGCTTGGCTCCTTTAGGTGTGTGAAAGCTGTTGATAAGGTATGCAGTGGCTGTTCCACTAGGATATGTTAGCTTGTACTTCAAGATCATCAGCTGCAAGATTAATTTAAGAATATCAGATGAATAATAAAAAGAAAATAAATACTATTTAAAAAACAAACCATAATTTACTGTATTTAATCGTTACCTTCCTCAGAGGCACAATAGAGAACAGGCCAACAAAGCTCACAGCAAACAGAAATCCAATCATCCAACCAAGATGGAGTTCTTTCATGTTTGCAGGTGTATTCCCTCCTTCTGATTGATTAGCTATCCTTGGTGTCATACCAAGCAAGTAACTTGCAGTCCCACCTAACAGTTATTATGCCACAAAATTAGAGAGAATTGATCAAAATTAGAACTGAAAGAACAAGATGGAATACATTGGAACTTTATGAAAATCATTCTCTAGGATTCTTTTTTATTGGTAGTCACTGCTTTTCATAATCCTAATATCAAGAAGAAAGCAATAATTAAAGATTTAAATGGAATGAGATTTGTTTCAAGTTTTGGTCCACAAAAATCCCAACAAGATCTAAATCAATGAAGGAACGACTAAAAGATCCAACATTTACATTCATTGTCCACAAACAATCATGCAGCATTTAATGTTTATCATCACAATCCGAAATCACCATTGATTTATAGGTGTTTGGAACTCCAAGGCCTGATTTTATTTGTTTATTTTTATCAAAGATTCGGTTCCAAACGTGCTGTTAGTGAACGAGGAAGGTGATACTTGGTCAAAAGTGATAGAATCTAATGTGATCTACGATGAAAGATGATGGGAAAAAAAAACACAGCAAGAAACAAATAAATAACAGAAGGGCACGTAGAAACATACTGCTGAATGCAATGCCAGAAGAGGCAACCACGCATGTTTGCACCACGGTATTTTCTTGTCTAGTGAAAGGCTGCTTCAAGAATCCAGCTTTTCCAAGCAATGAAGTCCAGAATTTAAGGATGGCAAAACCCAACAAGCCGGCCGCAACATTAAGTGAAGGGATCACACCAGTTGTGAGATTAAGCTTGCAAACAATGAAGTTGAACACAATACTCAAAACCAGGCTTGTTAACATGGCCCTCAAAGTAATTTGCTTCGCCCATGGGGGAACTTCTGTGTCCTTGAATCCCTCTTCAACCATAACCTCCTCTTTCTCATCAGCGGAAGAGACCTGGTCTTCTCCTCCATCAAAAGGGTTTCTGTAATTCTCTCCATGATCTCCGCCACTCCTCCTTCTCTCCATCGTTTCCTTCCAAGGATAATATCTCTATACAAAGTGCAAACTCCTTGTGTTCTCTCTTTGTATAGAGATATAAATTACGTTATCTCTCCCCCTCTCCTCTTCTCACTTTTTTCTCCCTTCTTATCTCTCATACAAGTGTTGGAGTTTTTAGGCCTGATCGAGATATTTATAAGCAATAGAATCCCAAGAGATCCCGAAAGCTTGAAGTTGTTGCACATAAAACGGAAATAGTAAACACAGCTATTTTAAGTCGAAACTTTCCTGAGGTCCAGAGAGTTTTAAGTGCAATATGGATCCTACGAGACCCTCATGCGCGCAGCTGTCCTGCCTCAGTCGTTGTGCACAAATTGGTGCTAAACATACATGGCCTTGTTGAAGGGTTAAGATTCAATAATCTTGTTAAGCGGTGATTATTCAAAACAGCTGTTCTTCAATTCATTACGTAAGCTGAGATGCTATATATAGTATGGAGGAATATAAATTGTTGACTGGCTGGAATCTACTTAAGACCACTCTCTGTCAAAGAGATAAATGGGTTGTCTCCCTAAGTTTGGATTGTTACAGTTGTGCTCTACTAAATTTAGATG